TAATCAGTCTATATATTGTCAACTGTCATGGGGTATCCAGAACTATAGGTCCTGTGCCAAATGGTACAGAGCCATGACATAAACCCTTACACGCCTACAAGATGCTAACATTTTGTCCAGGACTGAACTAATCGATCAGTCAGCAGGATGTGTGCTTTTATTTTGGCTAATGTTGTGCTAAATGCCCACTTCACTACTGTATTCCACCCTGTATCCATCTTAAACAGGTAAAGCCTTAACTGGAGGTTTTTCTGCAAAGTTATTTTTTAATATTGAACACATTGAATGTACCACTGTGTTTTATAAGTTTAAAAAGAACCTTTGTAAGACAGAAAACACGAGAATTTTTTTGCAAGCCATCACACATTTAAAGACAGATGCGCACAGCACAGAGCTGTGGAAAGCCTTCAATTATATGGGTCTAATAAGGTTAGGAATGGGGCATTAGATATCAGGCTCAATCCAACCCATCCCATTTAAATCAGAGGAACGGCTCCCACTTCCTGGGAGTGATTTGCCTGGCTGCCTGAGCAAGGTAGAGCTGAGGCATTACAACACATGGTCCATCTCTGGCCCAGCTTCTTCGACTGTGCTCTCATTGTTCGGGAGTCGAGAGAGGACCTTATGTGTTCCAGAGGTTGACGGAAACTTTTTTCCTGCTTTCAGAAAAGAGAGACAACACTTCCTTTCCCAGAACAATTTATCTCTCTGCTTGACAAGACTCCCTGCTATATTTACCCAACTAAAATTGCAGATGATATACTTCCAGCTGCACAAGTCTCCAGCTCCGTGGCACATGGTCCTGTCAATCACACTAGTTACGGCAGAACAAACCCACCAGAACAGTGAGCCCCTAAACCAGACAGAGTGAGCTACCAACAAAAGGAAAAAAATAAACACTAAAGAAATATAGAGAGGACCTGAGAAAACTTGGGAGGACTAATTCAGACTTCCTTTGCTGGTTGGCTTTTGTTGTTAGAGGGAGCAGAGATACACACCAGAGTGAATGGAATTACTGGGCTTTCATTAGGCAGACAGCTGGGCCACTGTGAAGCCTCAAAGCAGCAGCAAAACACAGCCCACCCGCAAGATTTCCTCCCAAAGTATTGCTGTGTTTCTGTATGAGACACACAGCGAGAGATATCTATTAGGCTTTTATGCTGCTGCAAAAACAAAACAAATTGATCAGTCTCTCAAGCACAGAATTCTGCTCAGGCTGTGGTTATCTGATCTCCATTTTGTCTCTCATCAGGGCATGGATGTAACATTTGAGAGGCTGGGTGCACAGGAGATTTGGGCTTAAGGATGGAACAAGGCCTTCAAACATCCTTGACATGAACTCATTACTTCATGCAAATGTTCTAAAACAAAGGAAAAAAAATTCAATTTCATATTCAACTTCCATTCTGGTCAAATACAGCAACTGTATTGGCATCAGTGAGGTTAGAGGAGCATAGGCTTTTCGTGATTTGATGGCTGAAGGGAAAGGCTTATAGTGAGAGGAAAAGGAAAGAGGAGGGTTAACCAGTGTAGTAGATTCCTCCTCAGCCAGCAGCGCCTGTCCATCTCACAGTGGCAGAGGCATTCCCTGGAGAAAAGCAGCAGCGGTGGGGGTTTAGTTCTGCACAGCTCGATGTGTTGCATCTTTCCCATTGCTCCCAACTTCTACAACTGGAGCTGTAGGGCTCTGGAAGCTGCCAGGACTCTCATTGCAAAGGCATGACAACATGCAGGATTGTCATCAGAGCCAGCTTGAGTCTCTCAGAAGGGTGGGGGTGGGGGCTTTCAGACACCACAACTGTGTTTACAGACACTTGAACTCACAAATGATCAGTAACCATACAGTACTAGAGTGATTACAAGTCTTTGTTCAATCTTAACCTGTAGTTGAGGAGGTCCAAATTCAAAGTGGACTTTGTCACTATGACACATTATGACAGCACGGAAATGACAAATCTTTAAAAGTTTGTCTCAATTTATTCTCACTGGATATCTAAATCGAACAGAAACAGAGAAGACGGTAATCAAAGAAGAGGGCAGAGCTGCTATAAAGCACACGCAGATCTTTCTTTCTCACAAATGCCACAGGTCTACTGTAAAGCACAGTAGCTTTAGAAACAAGTTCATTTCTATTTGGACTACTTTTCTCGTATAGATCTCTCTGAGCTAACTTGAACTCATTTAAACAATCAGCATGTCTTTCAGACAACATCCTAATTATACTGCTCGAGGATGTTTGTCCTCTAACGCTGCTATATTACATTTGATCAGTAGATCTTTAACAGGCTCTGTGTACACCACTAAATTGAAGTGTCTATCAATAGCATCTGTAAATCAGGAAAAACCTGAGTTGCCATCTAAACTGCATGATTGTCTGAATGCACAGTCGTCACACCGCCACACCTATCAGTACAAATAAATTCTTTACCTGTAGTTCTGAGGGAAATACTGATATATGATATTGCCAACATTATGCAGTGCATTTATTGAAGAGTACAGCTGAAGCACAGCAGGGAACAGCGCTTTTGCTGTTAAAGGAGTGATGTTCCGAATTCTGTCTGTAATTAACATTGTATACGAGAACTGAAAAAAGATAAAGCTTCAAATGTATTATTTGGTGCCAAATGACATAGTAAAAAAATGTGTTGCACCTAACTAATGTGCTGGTGTGCCTAAATGAAAAAGTTAGGTAAACCAATATGACCAAAACATAAAGGTAGTCTGGAGCACTGGTACCACAGACTATTAGTGTTGCTGTAATGAAGCATCTACTTAAAAAGCAAAAGCTTGATCCAGATGCTTTAGTCAAACATAGACCTATATCCAACCTCTTCTTAACTTCTAAAATCATTGGAAAAGCTCTTGTAAATTAGTTATGTGACCATTTGTACAGGAATGGTTTAAAGATTTTCATTCAGGATTTGTAGTACATCATTGCACAGAAACAGCACTGGTGACAGTGACCAGCTGATCTGCTCACAGCTTTAGCCTGTGGATTTGTCTCTGTACATGTTCTGTTAGATCCCAGTGCTGCATTGATTACAATGAAAAACAGCATTTTATTACAGAGATTAGAATATGTTAGTGGATTGCAAAAACTGCACCTGGCCAGTTCAAATCATATTTATCAGACAGACTTCAGTTTGTTCATGACATCAATGATTTCTCCACTACCACAAATATTAGTCACAGAGTTCCACAAGGTTCTGTGCTAGGAACAATACTTTTCACTATATATATGCAAATCCAACAATTTCCCTGAGGTTTCCACCAAAGGGATCAATAAAGTTCTATTCTATTGTATCCTATTCTATTGTATCCTATTCTATTCTATTCTATATGTTTTTGTCAAGTATTATTAGGAAACACTACTGTTATAGTTCTCGGTGCCTTACACCATCATCCTTTATGCGTAGCTCTACTTTGACTCTTTTATACATGCAAATTGGTATGTGCTCCTGACCAAGGTTGGATACCATGCTTGCTCTATATCCAGCCTGTCATCCTGGCTTACAAAAGTCAGGCTTTCCTAGTCCAGTTCCTCTGCCCACCTACCCTTGTGACTGATTGGACCGCTGCCCAGTCCCATGCTCCAATCAAGCTGCAGCAATAACTACACCTGATTCAAAAGTGCAGCTAATCTGTCTGTATCAGCAGCTGTCATTTATTGTAACACAACAGATGGGCTCCTGGACTGACTTTTAGACTACTCCTGAGTGAGCAATCAATCAATCAAGACTTTATTCATATAGTACTTTTCATACAACTAAAATGCAACACAAAGTGCTTTACAGATAACAACCCCCCACCCCCACAGTCATATACAGTCATGGAAAAATTATTAGACCACCCTTGTTTTCTTCCATTTCATACAACTAAAAGTACATTTGTTTGGACAAATATAATGACAACAATAAAAATAGCTCACAAGAGTTTAATTTAATAGCTGATATCTAGACATTTTCCATGGTTTTCTTGATAATAACCAAAATCACTTAAGTTCTTACATCAATAGTTATGGCATTGTACTGCCAAAAACAGTACTTTTAGTCATTCCATGTTTTCTTTTCTTGGTTGGAATGTTCTGGTTCTCCATCCAGGCTTCAGCTGACCTTGCTGTGTGGCAAGGGGCATTGTCTTGTTGGAAAATCCAGTCATTGGAGGCAGGAAAACATTTTCCAGCTGATGCCTCCAATTAACTCAAATGTTGTCAGTTAACCTATCAAAAGCTTCCAAAGCCATGACATCATCAACTGAGCTTTCCCAAATAGTTTGAAGGCATCATAATCTTAGTGTAGGTAAACTTCTGACTTTGAAGAAAGTAATAAAAAATTCTCTAAAAAGTTCTCTCTCATGATTCTGGCATTTAGCAAACAGAAATAATTTTGGTAATCCTAACTGACCTAAAACACATAAAATAAATTAATAATAATAAACCTAAATAAACCTAAAATACATTGTTTATGTACCTCCCATTGTGAGGTCGACAAACAACTTAAAGCCAAGACCTGAACACAGCTTCTCTGTTCTTCCACCTGGACACCTGTCACACCTATTGATTTCTACACATTCTCTCAAACAGCAACACACATATATACAGACACACTTGCACTCCAGTCTTTTCATACAAGGACCTACTGCACTGAAAGAGAAATTTAAAGTTTTGCTGAGCATTTGGATCGTGCAGGAAAGCAGCTCTGCAAGTTGTTTGCGGTGAATTATCCATTTTAATCACAGTGTTCATCTTCCTGCATGCAAATGTTCCACCACAACAACTCCAGCCATCACTATTTTGAGGGAACACTGAAGCTGCATCCTTCACTTACCCTCCCTCACAACGACTGTGATAGGTTTAAAGGAAACACAAACAAGCCAGATCTTTTTTTTTTAACCTATAGCAGAATTATAGTAAGATGTAGAAAGAGCGTTATGTTCCACAGAACGGGCTGGCAAAGCGAAACTACTTTGCACAAAACCTTGATTAGCACAGGCCCACATACCTTTTATGTTGTTGAGTATTTCCTTGAGATGGCCAAAGCTGTTGAGTAATGGGTCCTGTTCTTCATCCTGGGCAGACAAAAACAAAAGAATAAGAGCATGATGGATGAATGAGAGGACATTACAGACAGCATTTATCATATATGGTATTATTGCCTCTGAAGAAGTTCCCAACGCACATGACAGACAACACTTTGTTGTACCACAGGTTAACAGTTCTACTCTAGCCACATATTTTTTCAAATCCTTATTAAAACTAAAAAAAAACAGGATATACTTGTGCTCAGCTTACCAGTGGAGTGTGTGTATTCCATCTGGAGTTCCTCTTTATAGCTCCCACAACAGTGCTAATTTCACCCTGGACAATGTAGATATTCTTGTCCACCATGCTGCTTTTCTGACAGAAAAATAGAACAAGAGATGGTCAGTTTTGGTATAAAAAAAAATAAAAATAAAATCCAGCCATACAGGCTGGGCTATAGCTTATCAGAAGACTTCCTGTATACTCATGAAGCCTAATTTAAGTAATTTTTCCACAACATTTTTTATATGAATCAATCAGGCAAAGAAAGCTTGTCCTGCTGATGTTCTTTCAGCAGCAGTCACTGATGCTGTTAGAGGCAAGAGTCAGTTCAGACTGAACCAATTGTTGCTTCAGAAGGATGTATGTGCTACTGAAGTCTCATATCTGGTGTGTGAGGGAGAAAAACACAACAAACCACATAACTCAAAGGAAAGAACTACAGCTAATCTTTACATTTTATTCAAAACACCTAAGTAACTATTGCTAAAATATCTGTATCAATATTAGGTCATAAGCAATATTAAATTTACATTTTCCATGACAGTAATAAAAATGTACTCTGTCATACATCACAGTGAGGCAGAGTGTGCACAGTGCTCTGGTGGCTGCAATACTTGATTCAAGTCAAAATCTAAGGACTGTCAACCTAAAATGTATATGGAACCCAAGAACCGAAAGGCGAATTTCCATGCCCACTTTTACAATGCCTAAAACCAATACGGATAACCAAACAGAATCAAAATTACATGCTGTTCATATTTGAAAAGCAGGATAGCTCAAAATGGTTGGATTAACCTTTTTCTTTGTGTCATGAAAGTCATGTCAGATAATAGTCTTACAGTACAGGAAGATTTATGAGAATAAGGACTGAGTGGCTGAGGCCACATTCTTTTAAATACACAGTAAGCAGCCTATTCAACATAATACAGGGATGAAAGCCTGATAGGTAGAGGCTAGAGTGTGGACACACAGTGACAGGCTTACAGCTGATAATACCCACAGCTTCAGTTTGAATCAGTGATTCTGGGCTCTTGGATCTGATCTGATATTTTCTAGCATAATTCAGCTGCACAGTGCATACTGCATTACAGATGTACAGTACGACTCGCAAAACCAAGTCAAAGTTCTGTATTTAGAGAAAACACTGGACATTAATGAACATATACTGTGAGATCAACATGCCATTCTCAGTTATACCCAGGAAACTGATGCCACCATGGCTAGTGATTGAAACTTCTCCCGGGTGGCATTTTGTATTATGCACTATATGGTTTTCCTTTAAATACAAAGTCATGCAGTGTTTCTTCCATTTTCCTGCAACTGTGTTCTGCTTAAGGATAGTAAATATTGCTAACGACAAAAGACTGAGCCCAATGCTTACAACTGGACTGTAATCAGAAAGACACATCTGACATTTCTTTAATTAGCCACAGTTGCTAGGCAATTTTTCAGCTTAAACTTAGTCTCTGGTCCCCACAAATGTTTTCTTTCCAAGATATTTGATGTAAAGAAACATTTTATATTAATACACCTGCACCTTTGTCCAGTGGCCTTGGAAAGTAAGTCACCTCAATGTGTCATGTCAAGTATATTAATTCAATCCAAAATCACTAGATTGTCTTAGAGGACTCTTTAAGCTATAAGTCACGTTTTTGTAAAAAGTACAGGTGTTTAGGAAGCAGTTTATAATGAAAATGTGACTTATATATATATACCTGTGCTTTGAATGAGTTTACCTAGCGATGCCTATGGTCAGACTGGCTTTGAAGATTATGAATCACTGCATGTTGCTGGGTGAACTCTCGACTATTTCTTTACTCTTAGATGTCAGAGGTTGCTGGTAATGTGTTCTATTTTAACAAACAGCTGACTAGAACAAGAGCATAACAGTTCTGTTGTCAGAAATGCAAAAACAGCCAACTAAAGCGTGCTGTTCTAAAAAGATATCTTCATGCATCGTGGACAGTCATTGTGAAACCCCCAATGCATGTTATCTAAGTTTAACATAACAAGCAATGCACCAAAAGGGAATGATTCAAGCTATACACTTTATAGCAATTTAGGATATAGAAAGATAGCTGGGTAGTTGGCTAATTAGATTAATGTAGGACCGTCTACTCAAAGGGAAGGCTAACATGCGATCTCTCGTCTAAGTAGCTGGTTGAAAGACAGTTGACAGTCATCTGGGTTAAACAAAAACATAATGACAGGTCACATGAACACCGTTTAGTTAAGATCTATCACTGTTTAGAGGCTATTTCGTTGCATACATTAGACCAATTACCTCCTTAGAGCCCTCATAGCTTACTACCTAGCTACCTCCAACTAGCTAGCGTGTCAACTGGCTATTGGCGTTTGTCCTTTCAAACGTTCAATTACCTCTTTGATATAACAAAACAAAAAGCCAATTGACAAATGCATGAAGTGGCTTCTTTGAAACTCTCGACATTAGTATTTTACCTGTGTGGCTGCTATTTCAAAGATGGAGTCCTGCTGTAGCTAATGCTAGCCTTGCTCGGCAAGCTAGCAGGCTAGCCGGCCAACAGTGAACGAAGAAGACCAAAGTTCAGTTCACTACGACAAATAGACAAACTAAAAATGCCGGACATTCCACTGTGTAATATCGTAATATTTCCAAACAACGCTTATTCATTCACTCTTCAAAAAAATGCTCCATAAGTGAATAAAGTGTACACCTTCCTGCAGCTGTCAATCTGTTTCTGGTAAACACACTGACGTGGAAAAGCTCTGCACTCTCAACCTAACTTGACTATGGAGGTTTGATTGACATGCTACTAAACTCATTACTAAAAGTCATATTGGGCGTCAAAATCCAAGTATGTGTCAGGTAATGAAAATATAAGTTCCATTAGTGCTTTAAATATTTTTGAAGTCATAAAAAATAACAGGGAGTTTAAAAAAAATATTTTTTGGCTTGTGTTACAGCAAGATGAGGGCGGGACCAAGGCGCTAGTAGTGGAGTAAAGGCTGGTTGCGCCGGGTTGATGACGAAAGCACTGCTTGCACTCTCCATTAAAAGGGGCATCCCTTTATAATGTCTGTCTGTGATGTCATTCATCTGATGAGAAACATTTCCAAAACCTAAAACCTTTTACACCTGATCTGTAATACGTTTGATATGTGCTGTATTTGAAAGTGTCTGTTTAAATATAAATAATTTTTCCTTTTCCCTTTTACACTGCAAAAAAATAAGTTCATTCAGCATAACAAACATAAGTTGGCTTGCTGATTTAAAATGTGATTTAACAGCACTTAGGTGGACTGCTTGAGTGAATAATTAATTTAAGGTCATCTTATAAGCTATGAAAGTGAGAAACTAGTTCAATTATCTAACTTTGTTCAGTAAACCTAGGATTAATATTCTAGGTTTCAATAAACCTAGGTTTACTAAACTGTTTTTATTGAATCAACGTGTCACATAAATATTGGCCACAGATAGACTTGCTTTCTTCTTGTTTGCACTATTTCTTATATTTATATGTACATTTTTTTCTGTCTCATATATGTGTGTCTCTGTGTTAATGCTGCTATCAACAACGTGAATTTCTCCACTGTGAGACAAATATATCTTATCTTATCTTATCTTATCTTCTCTTCTATTTTTTTCTAAGCTGAAAGAGTTTCTTCCTCATTAAACACAGGACTTAAAGCTTCAGCTGTCAAAGCCATTTTTTTACCAAGCCAGTACAAAGACTATCTGTGAGTGATGGTTGAATATTTTTGTTACTATATGAGTTGATTTGACTGAGTTCATTTACGATGTTTTACATGGTTGCAGATTGCATTTCTTTATTGAAGTATTATTATTTGTGCAGTACATTGTGCATTGCTTCTCTTGAAAGAGTAAGCCCGTTGTGGGTTCCATTTTGTAAATGACATTAATGTGAGACACTGATCCCACATATTAAAAGTTGAAAGTTTCCATCCTAACAGCTATCTTTTTATTTCTTGTCACAGGCTACAGTTCAACATCACTGAGTCAACAGGAGCGCTTCTCTTTGCAGATTCAAGTTATTCAAATAGACTGTTAACTGTGCAGGGTAGTGATGTAACATTCATGTACATTGATTTTTATTTTATTTTTTTGTACACTCTATGTTGTAGTTTTCAATTTATGCCATTTCTTCCCTTTAGTAAGTTAGTTAGAATGTTTGCTAATTCATAAAAACAATAAAGAAAGAAATTAAAAAGTCGAAACCTCCCTTTTACTGCTATTTCTGTCCCTGCTGTGATACTTTAAGTTGTGGTCAGATGCATCCAGTTTTCTTTAATTATACTTGAGATGTGTTTTGAATTTGTTTGGTGTCTATCTGTGGCAACCTGAAATAACTAAACATTGCAAAGACACACACCTGTGTCGAGAAGGTACCACAATTCACACTAAATGTCCATGCAGAGATTTCACAGCTACAATCCGACAACATTTTTTCTCTTTGTACAATCAGAAGCCACCGTTTTCTCAGCACCCACACATGAAGTACTGTTCTATGTTTAAAGCATGGAGAATTCACTTGTGTCAGACCTCTGTTTGCTCTTTGTAAACTGTTTGATCACCTGTGGGATTTGTAATTTCAACATTTCTTCTGCAAATATATGCACATCATTTTCTACACTAGCAGATACATGTGCACCACTGAGGCAATAACAACATTTTGCTTCATATGTTTGTCATGGCCTAACATATGCACTTGTAGTGTTTTCCCAAATAGTGCTAAAATAGTCTCTCACATTGCCAACACTTAGTTACAGACTGCCTAAAGACCCAGTGTTAGTGTCAGTCAAGAAAGCATAACTTTCTCAGAAACCATTTTTAATAACTATGACTTTCATTGAAACCACCATATCCCTGTCCTAGTCCTCTTTAGCTGCATATGAAACAGCTGGATCTCTCTTGATTACATTTACTCCATCCAATCTAAAAATATTTATTTAAGCTAGTGTCTTGGACATGACTATGTTCATAAATGAATTGCATGAGAACAAGCACAGTGCGATCCCTTTAATTTTAGCATTCCATTTTTTATCCAAAATCCTTAAGACAAAACCCCTCAGGCACATTTACCACTTTGTAAGCTTGTAGGTGAGGCTTTCACACTTCAGCGAGTGATACCCCCGTCATACTCCTTTTCTGCTTTGCCTTTATCCAGTTCATAATCTGGCCTGCTGTCTGGTGAGAAGTCAAAGAATGAGCATTTTGATCTGGAGCTGTTTATGCCTCATTTCTGTATTCCCTGTCACATTTTCTCGTCATGTTTTGTCTGCTAGTTTGAAGTAGTGAACAGCTTTGAATTCTACAGTACGTCAGGAGCCTAATTGCCATTACAGAAGGGAAGAAATTAGATTTAGGCATGAATTGGAGCAGTTTAAAATTTCACACACACACACACCTGTTTTAGTTTCATGAAAAATATAAACCTCAGAGGGCCCTGATAGGATTGCATATAACAGAATTTGAAGATGTATGATTCTCTACTTTGGTTTTCTATCTTGGAACAGACAGTTTTTAACACAGTTGTTCATCATTGGACTTGATGATTCAACTTGGAGAATGTCATGGTGATTGAATCAATAAAAATGCTCTAACTTTGCATCAGTTAGCATTGTTCTTGGGGAAATGGTCTGGACTCCAGAACCTTAAGCATCCTCAGTAGCTCATCCAAATCTGCAGCTCCCTCGATCTGAATTCTGCCAAGATGTTTAGAGTGTGCAAGTCCCCCCAAATACTCTCCTCTGAGGTTTGATATTACATTTTATAAATGTTTCCTCCATCCATCCATCCATCCATTCATTGTCTATACAATGCTTAAACCTCACTAGGGTCACGGGGGGCTGGAGCCTATCCCAGCTGACTTAGGGGGAAGACAGATCGCCAGTCTATCACAGGGCTACACTTAGAGACAGACAACCAAGCACACTCACATTCACACCTACAGACAATTTAGAATCACCAATTAACCTCAACATGTTTTTGGACCTTGTGGGAGGAAGCCGGAGAACCTCGAGAGAACCCACGCTGCACAGGGAGAACATGCAAACACCACGCAAAAAGATCCCCGATGTCCTCACCTGGATGCAAACCGGCGACCTTCTTGCTGCGAGGCAACAGTGCTACTAGATGCACCACCTTGCAGCCCCCAAATGTTTCATATCTCTTTATTAATTTAGCTGCCCTGTTATAGTTTGGCTGTTAGTTTAACTTAGTGGAAAGAGTGGAAAGAGTGAGTAGTCTGGGTCTGTACAATGTAATATATAATACTAAGAAGTTAAGATCGGTAAAAGCAAATTATACGTTGGAGAAAGAGTGCACATGCATAAACAAAATTGATAAACGACAACTATAGCTTCAAACTGTAACATATACCTGTGAGCACACATTTTTGGTCTTTATGTAGAACATCGGCAAAATCAACTCATTGCCATTTTTACTTTCTCTGCAGAGTTTACCTTCAGAAAATGCAGCATGTAATTTCTATTCATCAATAATTATCAAACAAAGTGTAGTGAAGAGGAAGAAAAACTAAATTACATTAATATTTGTTTTATTTGTTTGTGTGTTTGTTTTGCATCGTTTGCCTTTAAAAGAGCATCAGTTCTTCTCAGAACACTTGCACACTGACTGTCTAGGTGTTTGGCAGGTAGGTTATTTAACATCTTTGAGAACTTACAAAGTAGATTCAGTCTGTCACTGTATCTTCTGTCTCTTCATGTAATCCCAGTCTGACTTCATGGTGTCGAGATAAGTTCTCTGCGGGGTCGCACCATCTGTTGCAGGACTCCTTGCTCTTCTTGTGACTTAAGATAGTTCTTTATGACTGTGTGGCTGTCATGTTGCAGAATGAACTGCACAGTACTGCATGTGTCTCAGTAGACATGCGACAAATGAAGTAAATGTGTTTATAAATGAGCTTTAATAAGGGTGATACATTTATTTTTTACTATACCAGACAGGCTGCCAAGCTTGGATAACTTCTTCATGACAGACATTAGAACTGTATGGAGCATGTTATGTAACAGACAATACCAAAACAAGAAAAACACACAAACTAAAACACATTTCAAACAACTTCTTTAGCTATTGAATGGAAATCCACTTCTTACAAACACAAGTCAAGCAGTATTTACATTGTCTTTTGTGTAGGCTGTGATCTGGCTCACATCTTTTCCACTACTTGCTCTACTAGCTGCGCAGTCAAATTGTTCTTTTAGTCAGTTGGTCCATTCAGCTTTTACAAAATAAAATCTAATGTACTGTCTCCGGTTCCTCACTCCCTCCCTGTCCTCATATACTGTAAACCCTTTAGTACAGCTTGACCTGCAGAATGATGAAAAGCAGTTTATCAGCGTTGGCATGCAAGGTGGGATTTTCACACACCAGGTGTAACAGAAAAACAAATACACCTGCAACAAATTTTTGCTCATTTTCCTGCCCAGCCTGCTCTGGTTGTCGATTCTGCAAGCCTCCTGCGACAGCACCACCAGCAAAGGTCACTGAAAGATGACAGGCGTTGGTGTTGTGTACACTAACATCATATCTCAAAGCTCACAGCTGTGTTAAGAATGTGTTAACACTAGTCAAATAAATGTGATTCATGGGTTTCTTTGAATCAGTGTAGGGCTCTCCTTACATTTCAAACATCCCATTCCAAGCACTGTCAAACAGGAATCAGGGAAAGAATACTGCGATCGTATTTTGTTGAAACTTTTTCACTGTATTTTGTGCTGGTATGTCATATTTCAGGTGCCTTCATGTCTGACTCTTTGATTGATTTTTCAGCTGCTGTCAGTGGTTGCTCGTCATATTTAGCTAGTTTCTTCTTCAGAGACTACAGCAGCCTGAAAAAGCAGCTTGAATGAAATGAGGTTTTCTTCTTTATCACGAGAGAAAGTGAATATGCGCTTTACTTATATGCAAATAACTTAAATAAGCATATTCCTATATAGATGTGCAAAAGTTTAATATATAGTTTTCATTGGAAAGTGACTTGACGTTACCACATGGTTCCTTCAGACCAGAACAATATGAGTAGTGATTCCATAAACTCTACATGGGACCTGTGTGCTCCAAATTTCCGTGTCGATAAAAAAATTATATTTTGTATTCAGTGAGTCCTCTGACAAAGACAACATAAATAATGCTGATGGCTGTTGTGTGTGTTCAGTGAAAATTAAGATCAAAAATGAGTGATGACAGGGGAACATGAAGGCATCACAACATCCCTTTTCACACTATTCAGAATTTCAAAAACTATTTAAGAAATGACCGGTGCCTTGCAAATCTTCCACACAAAGCACATCTAATACCTTCTCTGTTTTCATGTAAATATTGAGGTTTGTGTCACAATTGAAAATTATCAGATATTTATATGCTATTCTATGAAGCACTGTATGTCAAATAGTGTGGCATACCTTAAAGGGAAAAGTTTTTTTAAATTTATTTTTTTTGGCTCAAAATTAGATTTTTTTTCTTTTCAAAGTTCAAAGTGAAAGGCCAAACTAAACAGTAATTTATTTGTATTTATTTATTTCAATGTACCGACAGGCTGCCAGACACGGCAGCGCTCCTAACCGACAACATTGCAGGTAAACTGAAAAGCTGCACTGAGGAGGCTGCAGCGAGACAGAGATAGTGTGTGTGTGTGTGTGTGTGTGTGTGTGTGTGTGTGTGTGTGTGTGTGTGTGTGTGTGTGTGTGTGTGTGTGTGTGTGTGTGTGTGTGTG